ATGAAACTGAGACAAGTTGAGTTAAAAAGAGCCAACTTCAACCCGATTTCCTTCTTTCTTTTTTAAAATGTCTTTCCTTCTCTGAGAGCATTGCCAGCTTCTAGATGCTCAAGCAAACCCTCAAATAGAGACAAACGCAAAGTGGAAAAAGCTGAATTTCTAAGAGAGACAATCGACTTGACTGTTTCTTCCTAATTTGTCTGATCGTGATGAATGAATGTTGTTTCAATATCGCAGTGAAATAAAATCATTTTGTCCAATTCCACATTTTGCAGATTTTCATGCGTAGATTACAGTCTGGAAACCATATACACTTCATTTGTAATACCTTCTGTTAATCCACGCATCTCTTGCACTATATCACTTGAACCCTACTGAAAAGAAGTAAGCTCATCCTACCTGTAATACTTGTATTACAGTTGCTCTTATTGCATGATAGAATAGATCCAACAAAAAAAGTCCGAATAGCAAAGTCTAGATACTGAAGACTAACGATTCTCCCCTTTGCAAGGATGTTATCTGGTCTTCCTAAAATGTGAACGCATAAATGAAATAGAGCACATTTATATAGCTATGTACGCTATACTTTCAAAACTGGAATGATACATCTGTTTCAATACCATACCTTGTTTAATCCAAACTATAATGTTGGTATACTTATGATATACAAATAAAACAATTACTTGTGACATTGAAAAAAGTTTTATTTAAATATTGGAGCAGTTCTTATTGTACCAGAAAGTTTTGAATTAGCTCATTTTCATCGAATTGCTCCTGAAATGAAAGAAAAAATAGGTAATTTTCTTTTTCAACCTTATGGTGATGATAAAAAATATATGTATGTACTAGGTTCAATTCCGGCAAAAGTTTTGTATAATGCTTCAATTCTGGCAAAAGTAAGTAAAACTTTTTGTAAAGACAAAGGTGGGTATGAAATCACAATTGATGATATTTCAGATGGTCATAAAGTTGTTAATATTTTTCTAGTAGGAGCACAACTTATTATTTCAAAACTACCATAGTTGTAATGCTATGACTGAAATCTTAGATTGGGCTATGAAACCCATGAAGCTTATATAAAAGGCCAAAAATTATTTTGTGTTCAAATCAAACGGCTGGCAAAATTCGTTTGAAGGTGATGTCGGAGGTACAATCTGTAGTCGAATATTCCTACACCGCTTTCTGAATGTCCTCTTGTCTGCATCAGCACCCCAGAGAATTTGGACAACTTTGAATTTGAATTGAAGTGCTTTCGTTTTACAGGTGCCAGAAGTTTGATGCCATTGAAATTTTTCATATGAATTTTCCATCGAATTTGAATCCGTGACTCTTTTTTTTTAGGTTTTAGATGGATCAAATGAGGAAAGCAATGAATTAACAATTGAATTGAACGTGAGAGCGTAGAAGCAATCTTGAATTGAGCATTACACTTACAAATACAGTTTTATAAAGACCTTGTATATTCCATGTTCAAAACAGGGCGGAAAGACATTACAAAAATTAGTCGACGTTCAATCGTTTACGGGCACGAGAGTCAAAGGTAATGTTCTGTGGATGGTAACAGTTTGGAGTGGAAGGAGGTATTATGAACCTGAACTCTTAACGAGCCTTAATTTTTTTTCTAGTTCTTGTTCTCTTGTCACATATGTTTGCATTGTTGATGATAACCTCTTCTTCTTTCCAAATCTTCTGTCTTGTGAATTTTCATTGCTTGTAACTGAGATACTATACTTCTCCTTATGCATGTACTAAAGTGGGACACTGTGACATGACTTGCACAAAAGGATGTTTACATTGTTCCAATTATCGAACTCAAGCACCCTGATGAATTGGCAATCTTTCGCCAAGTACTACTCAGCTGACACTGTTGAGTTTGCAGATCCTTAGAGAATTGAGAACTTGTGAGTTGAGAATTCGTGAGGTGAAAATTTTCTGGAAACAAAAAATACTCAACGTTCTAGGCGTAACCTGAGAACACTATACTAATTGGTTAATTGTCAGCAACTGTTCGACCAGAGTCAATCTAATTCAGTTAAGGTCTCCTGTTAATCACCTAAAGAGTCTTCACAATTTCTTCAAAGTTCTTCAAATCTTCAGGAAGTGCTCAAGCTGATATTTAGTATGTGAAATGAATTGTAGAGTTGGATGTGACTCATGTACGCAAGTTTCTCTGTACACTCATTACACATTCATTACACATAGACGTAACCTGAGAACACTATACTAATTGGTTAATTGTCAGCAACTGTTCGACCAGAGTCAATCTAATTCAGTTAAGGTCTCCTGTTAATCACCTAAAGAGTCTTCACAATTTCTTCAAAGTTCTTCAAATCTTCAGGAAGTGCTCAAGCTGATATTTAGTATGTGAAATGAATTGTAGAGTTGGATGTGACTCATGTACGCAAGTTTCTCTGTACACTCATTACACATTCATTACACATAGACGTAACCTGAGAACACTATACTAATTGGTTAATTGTCAGCAACTGTTCGACCAGAGTCAATCTAATTCAATTAAGGTCTACTGTTATTCACCTAAAGAGTCTTCACAATTTCTTCAAAGTTCTTCAAATCTTCAGGAAGTGCTCAAGCTGATATTTAGTATGTGAAATGAATTGTAGAGTTGGATGTGACTCCTGTACGCAAGTTTCTTTGTACTCTCATTACACGTTTTGGATCCGTAAGAATCAACTTGTACGATGACTGTGCATACATCCACCCCGAAAAACAACTGTATCAATAACTATATCCTTTGAAGCTATCAATCTGGTGACTTGGACATGATTTGTTTATAGGAATTATTTATCCTAAAAAATAAATAGTGAAAGATCGTACAGGTTTCCGATCATAATTGAGAAAGTTGTGTATGAATAAGTCTAGATGCAAATCTCCGTGTAAATCATGTGAAGAAGTTCTTCCTGTTTCCAGATTTCAGGAGGTGAGTATGTTGAAGATCTGAAGGATTTTTGTGAGAACAATTAGTGAGATTGATTGTCAGTAGATGTTGCAGTTGTCGGAAATTAATGGGGCAATTCATGAGTTTGAAGATAAGTTTTAGACATTGATTTGAGTACCATCACGAGTATCCAACGTCCTATTGATTAGTTTTGTTGAAATAAGTATACTGGTTTTGCAAGCTACTTTTAGAAGCAACATAGTATCTGGTAAGATAGTGAAACCTTACAATCAATTTACTTCATAGCCAAGCTCTTATATTATACCTTGGAATCTGGTTGGACATAAAAAACACATGATCCATTGATTGCAATAAAAATCTCATTTGGCAGATTAGTGTTTTGAATTTGCTGTCATTATCAACCACACCGTCCACAACCCTACATTATCATGATAATAATTGGATGAACTCTGGGCTCATCCATGAGATATGTACTTCTGAACTAAGCTTACCTGCTCATGTGCAAAAAGAAATACAAAAGAGCATGTGAGTGTAGTGCGTCTAGCAAGAATCAGCTTTCATCTAAAGGAAAATTCAACTTTTCTTGTATCATGCGTAATTTTCTATTTGGTCTGCACGGTCTTGAACTCACTAAGTTCGTCGTTGTCTGAATAAACTATCAAAGTACTATGTCATAGAAAGATTAAATGCACGAGCAAAGTATTTTGGATCCTTTTGTCTTTACTTTTAGAAAAATCTTATATACGCCTTAGCATACAGTTAGCATATACTCAAGTGATATCCCAATATGTCATAAACATTTATAAATCATTTATTACAATTTAGATCAAACATAGCTTTTGCGTGAAGAGCGAGAGTTATACATGGATGGTGGATAAATTCATACTTTGATTAAGATTTAAACAGCGCTTATGATCAGCTGCTAGTTATCAAACAAATGATTGAAAACACATGAAGCCATGTTTTTCAGACGCGACTTCATCCAACAAGGTCTCACCGCCACTTTCCTCAAGTTTTGTGGATAACATAAAGTGAAGAAAAGATTGCAATTAAAGTATATTCACCAAGACATATGTAGCCATAAGTATGGGAAGGTGCCCCTCAGACGCAAGTTATATCTTCAAATGTTCCACAAAGAACTTTAATCGTCTTTTGAACAAGTTTGTATGATTCTACCCTTCAATCTGACTTCGATCACAAAGGCAGTGCATAATCATTGACTCGAGGAGATTTTTTACTCAATATCCTATAGCACGCAAGTGACTAAAACGAAATATCTCAGAGCTTGATAGCCGACCATGCCAAACAATTCCGTTATGCTTTGAAAACTTTGTTCATTGCTTGTATGTTAAGCCTGATTTCTCTCCTCTCTCGATTCCTTTGCCATTTTATAGCAAGAGTTGGTCCATAATGGAAAACAATAGGCATTTTGTTAAAGTCTTTATGGATATTGGAGCTTAAATGTTCATTGGCACAAATATTTAGATTTATCATGTTCAGAGAATAAGTCTTCATCCATGCAGTGGGTTACATCTTGATGTTGGGAAACATTTTCAAGGTGGCCGACACAGGTTCAAGCATTGGTTGAACAATTTCACTATGAGTAACTATGGTGGTCAGTATGACATCTACCATGTTGTGAGAATAGAGATTCCCTCATAGTTGAGTGCGGATGGATGCCCATATGTTTTTATAGTCCATCGCTCATCGGAGCGGAGCGATCTAGCCTCAATTTCATCCTCATCCAATCAGCCTGCCCGCACATTCTTCCATCTTGGGTCAAAAAGAGTACACTCGCAAAGAAAAGAAGAACTTAAGAGACCGCTCACTGAAGTATGACACGTAACTCGGTCTATGAAGGCCCTATATAGGGGCTATGTATAAGTTTGTGCAGCTAATCAAGTCAATTACCATGGACTTTAAAAAACTACAGACATTCTTATTAGGAAAGCATCCTTGTTCACAATTTAGAGTATAAGTAAGTGTCACACGTTGAGTTACGGAGTTGTAGAGTTTCCGATGACGGCGATAGGAGACACAGTTCTTAGGCCACAACCACGTGGTTGTGGTGTACGTGGTTGACAGCAGAATCTCTCGTCTCAAAATCGTTCAATCGAGGGGCGACGAAACATCGTCGACATTCAAGCCATTGCTGGAATATTTGATTAGAACAAATTTCAAACGCCTGTACGTCAGATTTGAAGGTTCTCAGTCAGAGCAGTGCGCAAGTTTTGTCGTGCTCCGAATGCCAAGCATTTGGTTTCGAAGCAGTCTGTCACACGGGTGTTAGATTTTGCATGCGTGCATGCTGGCCACGAGGAGAAAGAGGATAGGAATCGATTACGTTTGGAAGCAGTGAAAGGCGCGGAGGCGGGGAGGAGGAAGAGCTGTGTTTTGCAATGCCAGACATCGTGACCTTCGTGTCTTCGGAGTGTCATGGTGGGACGTCCTTTGTCGGTCTTGAGTTGCGTTCATGAGTGGCAGAAAATATCGATCGGAGGAGGGGGCTTTAGATGACAGCTTACGGTGATGCGTCATGTATGTTTCCAATCCGATGATGGCGATTATTGGCTGTCAGGTTCAATCCACCTGTGGGATTCTCGTCGGTGGAAAGGGGTCGCACTTGTCCCTTGAAAATTGCTCAAGAAATTCTGGATTGCAGAGATGGGAGAAATTTCGTCGGTGCACAGTTGGTCTCCGAGTGCGAGGAGGGGTGTCGAGTGATGGTCAGTTGGAAAGTTTACCTTCTTTTGAGCGAGGGAAGCGTTTGAGCGAATTGAGCACATTGGGAATCGGCGGCCCGGCTAAATATTTTGTTGAGGTGCACGATGAGTCTCAGATGTCTACTGCAATTAGGTTCGGTCGATCTATCTGCCGTTTTGTATTCCGAAATTGTAGTCCAGCTCGCTTGAATTTCCCTATTTTGCTGGATGTGATGCGTTTTTGGGTTCTTGTGATTGTTAGCTGCATTGCGTGCGTGTCTTCATGACACCTTATTTTCCACTGCACAAGGCCAGCCTGCCAATTTACGTTCCTGAGTGCTCTCGCAGAATATGTCGAGAAAACAACATTCGATGCTTCATCGTGGGGAAGGGGTCCAATTGCCTCTTTGATGACAGAGGATTTGATGGCTGTGTCATCCTCAACTCCCTGAAGTTTCTCGAAAGGCAAGGGAGGGGAGTATACAGAGTGGGAAGTGGCTATCCATTCAACACTCTAGGTATACAAACCTCGAAAGATGGATTCACGGGACTCGAATTCGCTTCTGGAATTCCTGGCACTGTTGGCGGTGCGATTTTTATGAATGCTTCCGCAAACGGCCAGGTGAGCTGAAAGTTCCATGTTTAATCCTAAGACACTTCACGGCTTACCTGATAAGAGATTACGTGGATCAGTAAACAAATCCAAACACACGTTTCTCCTTGTCTCAACTGCTTTCCCCCAGTGGACGAATTGCTGATGGAGAAACATAGGTCTGTTAAAACAATGCTCGGGGTTATGCTAAACACTTCATCCACCTCCCCTGCTGTTCTGTCAGTCCAGATTCCTTTTTCTTAGTGCGAGCCCAATATTTTTAAAGAAGTGATTACTTATGGTAAGTACTCCGGCTTTTAGCAACAGAAACAAGTATTTAGTGTAGAGAAAGTCGACATGGAATGTGTAATTTTGGTATTGTAAATTAGTGCAAGACAACATTAGTCTATCCAGCCGTGCCACGAATCTCCATGTGAAGCTACTTTTGCCGACCTTCGCAAATTTTCTCTTGGTCGTATTGTCAGAAAGCTACTCCTGGATTGTGATTTCTGTAAGCCTAGAACGAAATTGGATATGAAATAATTTGGTGGGCTCTACATTCCTCTTCTCAACATATCCATATTGTGATCGTTATATTCATCTTCAGTTGATGTTGTAGGAAACTGCTAACGCTCTCAAATCGGTCGAAGTTTTATGCGCTGATGGAGAGAGGATTGTTCACACCAAAGGACAGAGCGACCTTGTGGTGTATGGTTATCGTCTCTCACCTTACCAAACAATGCCAGGGTTCATGGCCATTCTTGCTGCAACTTTTGAACTCGAGCCTTGTCTGGACGCAAGACAGAGGCACAAATCTCTTCTGGAGAGGTACAGTTCCGATTAGGTCCGGAAAGATTTGAGTTACGATTCTGCGACTCGAGAATGCCTTCTTACCAGTAGATGTGTTTATTGGTTTGCTTATGAGCAGTGGCATGTTTTCCTGATAGCTATTTCTTTTACAGGAGAAGGAAAACACAACCTGTTGCGGCGAAAAGTGCAGGTTGCATTTTTCGGAATCCTGGTACAGGATCCCAGTCAGCGGGTGCACTGATTGAGCAAGCAGGTTTGAAAGGTATAGAAGTTGGCCGAGCAAAAGTTTCAAATATTCACGCCAACTTTCTCCTCAATGCTGGAGGTTCAAGCGCTGCAGACATGATTACTTTGATCGAACTTGTTAAGGAACAAGTCAAGAGGAAGCTAGGAGTTGATCTTCGGGAGGAAGTTATTTATGTCCCTTACAGTTAAGTTGATCATGCACGAAGTTGGCACAGCTCGTCCGCATCTCGTCCGCATCTATGACTGACATACATGCAGCGAGTTGCCTGTACAAGTCGTTTGAGCGCCACGGAGGTAACAAGAAGAGTTGCAACATGAATGCGCTTATGCTTACCTGCAACTTTACCTTCAAGTTATCAAATAGTTAGAACCTGTCAGAGCTGTATAGTAGTTGATTGTATATGCCGAGCTCATCGATATCATCGTCAGACCATCTTTACTTCAAAATTGCTGTCGTTAGTGCTGATCAACATCTTTGAGAGTCTGGTGCCATTATTTGATTGATGAAGTAATAAATAGAAAGTCATGCTCGCCATGGCTTGTTTATAATTTTCTGCTTTCCCCATTCGAGGACTTATACACAGCCTCCTGTTTTAATTTTTTGTCATGGGTCATGCCTGAAGCTGTTTCAAACGAGCAGAGGAGTTGGTACGGGTGTTGGTAATTTTGGCTCGGACCCAGGAGAATGGGATCACCATTCAAATTGAGTATTGTTCCCACTCTTTGCATATTTGGTTTGTATTATCCTTGAGGGATTGCGTTCATCAGTTATTTTGGTTCCAGCATATGGGAAATGACCACAGCAGTTCAGTAGTGTATATTGTCCACGTATGGAAGTCCTTCCTTGGATACGCTCATACTGTTGGTTGGGATCTATCCGATTCCGGGTCAAGCACGGGACGACGCTCGCTCGAAATTTACACCCGAAGACAGTCTCGTTAGCCTCCGAGCTCGAAGCTGGAAGGCTTGAAGACTCCGAGAAACTCCACCTGGTCCAGGAACTTTCTTTACAAGTGGCGCGGGGTATGTGGACAGCTCAATTCCTAGCGTTGACTCACTCGCAGAACAAGGCAGGATTGTGCCATGGTGAGGTGAGGTCGGAAGGAAAAGGGGAGACAAAACTAGGTAATTTTATTTCCCAATAAATTGAAAACAAAAGTCTGCAACGATTCGAGTGGACATTTGCGCGGCAAAAACATTCTCGACTCTTGACGATATAGTCCTGAGACTGAATAAGTCCATATACGTGCTCCTTATACACACACGTTGGCCCTATTGTACATGAATCAGAAACCATGGTGTATTTTCCGAACATGGCCCTAATGGCATTTCACCAAAACTCCACTTGACTACATTCGACGGACTCTAATTGTTCGATTCCTTCCCTTCCTATGGAGCAGCACCAAAGTGCAGAATGACTGGCAGAATTAAAGCTTGTGTCGAATCTCTTCTCTGGTCTCAAAAAGTATTCCAGTCTGCACCAACAATTCTCCACCCAGATAAACGCCCCTCGGCTCCTCAAAGTTTTCCTTGCCGAGAGCTTGAAGCTATCGTGGCTACTAGCTATGCATGCTCTGCCAAATTTGTGAACTCAAAATGATAGGTCATCAAGACATCCTCCAAGTCTGAATTCATCATCTGGTTGATGTTTGCATGGTTAGCACAGCTCTGCCAACCTCTGGACTACCACGGCCAGTAGAAGTACCCTACTGAGGCTAAGCCCACCATTAGCGCCGCAACTTCCAAGAGTCTGCTCCTCCTTGCGTTTACTGACCCCCGCCCCACACATTCATCCACTCAACAGTAAGTACTTTTTGTTTCACTTCGCACTACAAGATATCTTTTTGAAAGAGAATTGACTGAATATACTTTTCAAATCTCCTTCCAGAAGGGGAAATTGGAGCCAACACCATGCGAGCTGTGAAGGCAACAAAACAAGTACATGACCACATCAAGAGCTCTCGTCTCTCGACTACTACAACGGCACAGACCGCGACTGGCTAGTTTTGGGAAGAGGTGGAATACAGGGAGAGCAACCCACCAGTTGTGCTGCTGGTTGAGCCGGCTTTTATGCCACATACATTCTGCAGGCGAAGAATGGCACTGTGATTAAGTCGCTTCATTCTTGCGTTCCTCATGGTTGTTTACGCTGTTGACTGTTGGTGGCTCAAGTATCACTCGGAGGAAACACGAGAATTCAAACTTGCTAGTGAATCCTCGGTACGATTAAGGAGGCCTCGAGGGACAATTTTCACAAGTTTCAAATGAGGAATTGCTGTCTGGAGTAAGCGCAAAGACAAAGAGTAATAAACTATGTGGGGACCAGGCGATTGATGGTCCAAGGATGGACGGTGAGAACCAGGCGATCCTACTTTGAGATAGAACTGCCGGTCGAAGTAGGATCCCAAAAAGTAATGAGTCAGAATGTGGTGTACGTACCTGCAGGAAACATTAGTCCAAGCTAAAACAGAAGCTTCAATGAGAGTTGGATTTGTGGAATCTAGTTGTTGTGTGCAACCGAGGGGGAACAAGTTGAGGATGAGTGGCTTCAAGAGGGAACAGGAATACCTGGATGGTGGTTGGAATGAACATCTTGTCGATTCCCTGGACAGACTGAGTGCTCTTGCTCACAACATCTTGCTTGTTGAGTTTGGCGGTGATGCCATTACCGACAATAGTGATTTTGCCATTCTTATTAGTGATGTTGAGCCTTTGGCCTGCGAGTGCAGTGTATGCCAACCACGGCGCCTTGCTGGTCCTGGTGACGATGGCCGCATCAGCGTATGCTGCTGTCAGCATATGATACTGTAGAACCCTGCCCGCGATTGAAGACTGTCCTGGTTCTTTCAAGCAGCTGTATTTCTGCAATTTCAGAGCCTCCGCCAATTCAGATCCACATTCTTTCCCAATTTCCCTTGACTACCAAATTCTTTCTTTATCTCTGACGAATGAGGAACATATCTTGTTTTCTCGGATCTGCGAGAATTATCGTAAACTTATCTTCTGCTAGCTTCTCTCAACCATCCTTGAACATTTTTACCTTGACTTTGGTTGGCTTTCAAATCTCCAATGCGTCAAGTGTGTGAACTGGACTTCTGACAAGGTGTTCTGCTGTTGTGTGTATGATGGACATGAGACCGTCAAACTTGTGGGCAATAATTGTAGGAGCACATAGTATCTAATTGGCTCTAAGCGGATTCTTACACGGCCAGCATTGGTAGCCTTTAGACCAGCCGAAATCTTACTAATTCTTATTTCCCGTTTTGAAAGTCGGAAGGCTTTTCGTCCAAAGAGAGTTCTTCTCGTGTGATGTGAACCTGAAGTCCAACTGCTTAGTTAAAGATTCAGGCGAACTCAGATGGCATCGTGTAATCTCATGTCAGGGCAAGGGCCTAGTATGTAGGAGCACTGAGTTAACCGCCCACTCTGTTCACTAGAAGAGCAGGATATAGCGTTGTTTCTGTGTACTAAAGCGCTAGTGCTTGAAATGCTTTTCTTTCAAGAAGAGTGGACGAATTTCGGGGGTCTGATCAGCGTCAGATGTGTAAGAGATTCGGCACACAAAGTCGGATTGGGCTGGACGGGTATGAAGAATCAAGGATCAGAATACTGATGGACTGGAGAAGCTTCGTAGATTCAAGCGCTAGGACGAGGACGACGAGGACGACCAGAGTCAGGGAGCGACGGCAGAGGGAAGGAGATTACTTTGACAGCCCCGTTACTGGGCGCAAAGAAGGTGAAGGCCGAGGGCCACTGCGTTCTGTTGGCATTCTGAGCAACCTTGATGATTTCACTGAAGCCGCCTTGACCAGATAGGACAGCAGCCAAATCCACCATCATTGCACTCGTGCTTGCAACGCTCACGAGGAGCAGCACCCCAACCAGAACCCCTGCCGCTCCTCCCCTTGACCTAATCAAAGCCATCTCGTCCAAATCTCGTCCCGGCCAATCTATCTACAATCTACAATCTACTCCACGACTACCGTCCGGTTCACCTCACACTCGCTCTCCCGAGTGGCCCACATGCACCGGCAGCACTTGCTCCCTCTCACCCCGCCGCTCGCACCTTCTCTCTCGGCTCCCTAAGCTTGCGAGCGATTCAGCGGACGGTTGGTGATTTGGTCAGGCGACGAGAATGTCATCCGTGCCGGAGGAGGGCCTGCGGAATTCGCTCAGCGGGGCCGTGCCGTGCTCTAGGGGCATGGAGGGAGTTTGAAGGTGCAATGCGCACCCTCAGAGGTGGAGAGGCGAAGAAAGTCCCGTAGTTGTAGTCGTACTGGCCATGGAAGGCTCGCTTCGTTCCAGACACCGCGAGGAGGGCTCGCAGCGGCGTGAACGATCCAGCACGCCAGTAACGACCTCCAGTAACTGCTACGGTCCTGTGCATGCGGAGCCTCCCGCGACCTCGATCGATCCCCCGCGAGCTCTTTCGAGTGCCCAGCCCGCCCCGCCCCGCCCCCTCCCATCCCATCCGATCTCGTTCTCATTCGTCCCGGTCGGCTGATTCCGACCCCCCGCTCTTCGCATGCACACGTTCACACCTCCTTCGTCTTCGACCTCTTCACACTGACTGCATCTGCATCGGACAATTCTGTCCCGAGTTGCGGTTTCACACCGACGCCGTTTACGGGTGTTCATTTTATCTTCGATGTTCCTTCCGGTCGGCCGAGTCGCCTCTGGCCTCCGCTCTCGATAATGTCCCGAAGAGTCACTCTGTCCTTCACACAACGCTGAGAGAATGTGGTCAGTGCACAAGGGGATTGGTGGATGGGGTAATAAAGTGAAAATTTCCCGATCTTTGACGGTGGTAAGCGGGGTCTCCGGGTCCAGGTCTGTCTGCAGTTTTAGCAACATATTACTGCTGCCTTTCGGGAAAAATTTCATCGGTTTGGCTGAAAATCCAAGAATCTATTTGGAAAACTTCGGATGATAGGAGGATTCGTTTAAGATAGATATTAATCTGTATGGGATTTTAATTAGTATTTGTTTTTGGAACATTTTATGGAGTTATCACTCCTTTACCTGTTAGTCCCTCTCAACTCTTTTCTATAAGAGCATTTCCCAAATGGTATGAGCGACTGTATGTGCTTGTCAAACACGAATGTCCAAACATCTCAAAATCGACATTAAATCAAGCTGTCATGGAGGGATGACTAGGACAAAAGACTTATTATAAGTACAAAATCATTATTAGTCACACGGAATTTCATCACTGTTTGTTGAAATCCCCATTCACAGACGGTTCTATGATTGAAATGAATAATATGGTACATGTCAGGATACAAACATTATTTGCGGAAAAGAACCTTACGTACCGAGCGATGTCCTATTGTCGATGTACAGAAGATAGTATTAATTGATGTCCTATTTTCGCCGTCCAGATTTTTGCTTCGGCATCCAGCAGCCGTACCGACCCTGCCACAACGGATTTGGAAATGAGACGGGATACTAGTGTAATAGTTGGTTGACTAGTGTTAAGACTGTACACGCCTCCTTGCTGGATCCCAGCTCTCTACTAGAGAGAGGATCCTGGCAAGTCCGAGAGACATTCCCTCCATTTTCTGGCCGAAGGCTCTGGAGGCATCTGCAGGGAGGGGGTCCCGAATCCACCATCGTGTAGCTGCCTGCTAGCTGTGACATCTGGACTCAAGTTTTGCGAAGTCCTGTGCGCTTTGCATGACATAAGCACTCGCATCGTGGACACTGCAAAACACAAATTCCTCTTCACCTAAACCGCGTGAAGGATAGGGGTCGGCCCTGGGCAACCCACCCTAAGGGGCTATCAGCTAAGGGGCCACATCTTTCAAGCATAATACGGCGGGAAGCTCACCTCGTCGATTTTTCGGTGAGCCTAGACAAACATTGCGTAGACTGACTTCAAGTGAATGAACTCCTTTTCGCGGGATCTGAAGACCGGCTCTGAATTCAAATGGAGATCCGATTCTCAATCAAGACGCACTGTTTGACTCCTAGCCTGGTCAGGTTCTGATCAACTGTAAAGGTCTCCGGAATCCCCTCGAGCTTTCCGGATCTCCAGGGTGTAGCTCAAATATTCTCAGAGGCCGTTGAAAGCTTGTAGCAGTCATGGACTGTTTCTGTTATATCTGTCCTGTTACTAATCAAGCAACAAGCTTCGAAGTCCTCGGTAAGCAATTCTTCTAAGCATGTTCGACGAGATTCGAACCTTCACACTTTGTAACCTACAGAAAGTAGCGATTTTTGAGACTGACATGAAAAGCGAGCGATGGCCTGTTCGATCTGTGTACATCCTTTCTAAGTCTGAACAACGACGAGGCATTTCATCATTCAGCTTTCACCTGTTCCCCTGCTCTGGAGGATAATCTTCTTCGGGAAGCAGGAAATGATCTCGTTTTGATTATCTCGTTCAGAACCTCGATTTCTGGAAGAAGAGATCCATAATTGTGGTCAAGGAATTCGTCTGGCAAGAGGCAGTTATTTATCAGGAGACGCAGAAAGATGTGATTGCCAGATCGAAATCCATCCGATTCATGTGTCTGATGTCTATCAGTAATCAATGGTGCCTGTGAGTTATCAGAGACAATAGTTTGCTACAGATAAAGGTTCTGGTATATAGCTGCTGGCCTCACAGCTTTCAAGCATCCGCTGCAACAGGGAATATTTACTGCTACTTTGGAAAGGACCATCTCCTAAAGTTCTACGCAGGAACGATTTGTCTTTGAATGCTGGACATGGTTGCGGTCTAAGCTAGATCTCAGTGCCGGTATGCTTAAAGTTCTTCGTATACATTGCAGATTTTGGAAATCCTCTCTGCAAATTATGAATCCGTGAGCAGAGAGTGGTGAGTAGTCGCGATTCCTTTGGGATCAGAACGTGGATTCCTAGTCGGTGGTCGAAACGTCTGGCACAAATGTTGCAGTGCCAGGACAAACACTTGATCTATAGAATCAGTTTGAAACTCATGCTAACCATAATCTTTTCAAGTGCTTTCCACAAGAAACCGTTTGGATAGACAGTGGTTGCTTATAGTGCCTGTGGTATGGAAGGAAGAATCTGTCGAGATGAGATATTATTAGGGAAAACTTTACCAATTCCTGCCGATATTGCCCAAAGTTCTGTTGAGCATTTTGTTTTCATAACGGGCTGCCATATTTAGAGACAATGACAAGAGAAGGTCACCTTTTATTGTTATTCTTTCAAAAGGACACCAACTTTTTGTTGGAGCCCACGAAGTTATGGCCTTTGGAGTGACGCATATCGACCCAGCACACAGTGAGAAGCAGAACGGGTTGAGGTTGAATTGTTGCGGATCAAAGAGGAGGGCGGGTCAAGCGAATCCCAGAATGATCAGACAAGTGGAAAGCCAATTCTTTGCAATAGCATCCGAAGCACCACCACTTCTGAAAACTCCTCACAGGACATAATACTCTCTCTTTCTTTCTTTCTTTGACTCTGAAGCATGAAGCACTCAAGGATTCATGGATCGAAATAATCACTATGTAGAAAGTCAGGCTGACGAAAGTGTGGATCAATCAACGACACTGAGATAATGTTCAGTAGAAATTTACAATGAATTCGGACCATCAAAGTTCAAGTGATTGTCTTGGTGCTGGGCCTCATTTTTGTTCAGAGTTAGTAAGCGGTATGACGGTTTTGTTTTTATCTCTGAAAGTTCTGCACCTTCATTAAATGTCGCATTGAAAGCTCAGATTGTATGAATGAGAAACTGTCACTCGGTGACCGTGCGAAAGAAACCGTTGACCAAACCAAGGTATATCCCCCTCAATCAGTGGTAAAGTGTCAATGATCGACTGAAACTGCAAAAAGCCCCCAAAATTGAGCGTGACGTGAAGACATTTATAGATTCAGGTGCCTTCAGCCAATGTCCATACTCAAATTGCAGATTCTTCCAGTACCAGGGGATGCATATTTACAAGTAATTATTCAGTCAGTCTTGTCTGGGTGGTGGATTGTTTGCGTCTACGGTACGTTCTTCACAAGGTTTATATTGGCCTACTCGACAATGACAGACGCTTGATTGGCTTTCCGGTGGGTAAAGTTCATCAAAACGTTCCAAGTGCTTAGGATTGAAAAGGGGGGAAGAATCCAATGCAAGAGGATCAAGAGGGGCCCGTACCAGAAACTACAGAACCAGACTGGATGATACATTTTGTGACTTGAAACTGTGTCATTCATGGTTTGACATAGATTGAGTCTCCTGACAGTTAACAGGACTCGATATTCTGGCACTGTTGCACATTTGATACATTTACAATGCTGAAATCAAAACCTTGACTGGAAGGGAAGGTAGACTCTGATTTGTAATGAATGACTTGTTATAGCAACACGTGGTACCACAACCCAATCAGCTCTGAACAATCCTTTCATTTCCGGAAACTAAGTTTGTTACAGTACAGGAAATAACTAAAAAGCTGACTTTGAAGAAAGTCTTTCTCTGCTTCCGTTGATCAGGACAGTGGTTAGATACAACTCAGAAGTGGAGGAGGTGTTTGCAATCAATTCCATTTATAATTTTTTTATATGGCAACTTACACTGACAACGCGACGATCTGTTGGGGGCTCAGAATCCCCCTAGAGTCGTCATGTGTTAGAAGACGTTCAATTTACCGTCGCGGTATTTTTTGTGGTGAAAACACGTGCAATGCCCCGCTAAACCAAAAACTAGGATCGTGTACAAGTTGGACACTGTATCAATGACGAGGTTCTGATTTTCAAGCCTTAACAACATCGTGAACAGCAAGGCTTTTATGACACTTCGTACGCATCTTCTAAAAAATAATCGAACCGATAGAAAATTATCTAGCTGAGCGAGGTCGATAGAGATGGTCCGTTATAGAGGAGGGCGTTGATCATGAGCGAATCGATGCCCGGAGGCACGCACCGCTTTCGATGCCTGCAGATGAATGACAGGAACGGCATATCGCTGCAGTAAAAGTAGCTAAGCTGGCCCATAAACAAATCCATCCAAGCCATCGTTGCTAGAAAGTGAAGGCACAAATAGAGGTGATCTTGCTGATCTCAGAATGACGACCTCTCACCTAGGCGTGACTCAAGCACATCATTCCCGCATCAGCGGATAAGTCCTGAGGCCTTGATGGTGCTGAAACGCATGGACAGAAGAGAGAAGGAAAATCCGACGTCGTGGTGGTGTACATGGAAAGCGAGGAAGCAACAGTACAAGCCTTTCACGTGTATTTGGCAGAACCAAGACCTCGTGGCGTCGAAGTATATAAGGCCATCTCATCGCCAGATAACGCAGGCTCTCACTCAGAGTTTCATCGACTCCGAGTTTCTTCAATGAAATCAGAGTCTCGATTTTGCTACAGCTACCACAAACTGCCTCTGGAACTCTAGAGTCTTATTTCAGTGTAAGTTTTGTGAGCGAGTTGAGCTGATTGAAGAAACAGCCAGCCATGCACGCACGCTGAGCATCACTCTGAGCATTTGATCTTTAAACCCCGGGAGTGGAAACTCAGTATCATTTTTTGCAGATGTTCTCATAAATGTCTTTTCCATTTGTTGCTGTATATTCGTCAATATGTCTGATCCGATGTGCTTGGGCTGTGTGGATGTTTGGATTGCGCAGTGGTTTGGAATCCAGCGAATTTACCAAACGAAAACATGACGAATGCTATGCTGTTGCCCATCGTCCTTACTCTCTTGCTGTCGGCTTTCACAAGCCTTCAGCTCGTTAGTGCAGTGGATATTGTGTTTTGGAGTGGGAGCACTTGTGATGGTGTTGGAGCAGGGTGTGTTAATATTGCTGCAGGTCGCTGCTGCAGGTATGATCCGAATCGTCCGTCGGTAGAGTTCAAGTACTCAGCATCTTGTAAAGGAGTAAAGGCCTATGGTGGTACAAACTCCGGATGTGGCACCCAAATTGGATCTGCTTCTGGAAGTGGGTGCTTCACCGGAGGCTACTTTAGTGGAGGAAAATGGGTAAACAACAGTTGTCGCCGTCGCCAACTCTTGACATCTAAAGTTGCTGGAATTGAATCGGAACAATGCATCGGCAGCTCTGCTCAATGCACAGGATATGTGAAACCAAACGCACTGTTTTATCGAGAGCCTTCGACCGAAGGCCTCTGGATTCTGAACAAAAAAAACGCCACGGGACTATTTGAGCAGCTCGCCAGCCTGCCTGCTCCAGCCAGAAGAGCCTGGCTCAAATCCCACGGGGCTTCTCATCAATCTGAAACGGAACAGATGAAAATATTCACGGTGGAAAATTGAAACGACAGTTACGACGATTGAAGTTCTGCTTGTACATTTTCAGATTACGGGGAAGGTAGGGAGAATGTGGAGAGAGTGAGAGAGAGGGAGAGGGAAAGAAAGTGAGGGAGAGAGGCAGTAGGAGGCAGTAGTGGTAGTTGTAACTTACTATAAAATATTTGTAAAGTGTTCAGTCGCGAGGTTAGCTGATCATCTGCGTTCTTCTCGGGGTAAGTAATGAGATAGATGAGACGTGATCACATGTACTGCTCCGAGATGAAGCCTACAAAATTAATATAACGGACTGCAAGCGTGTTAGCATGCAGTTCAGCGTTTTTGCTTTTTGCAATGGTTTGTACTTCTCACAATATGCTCTCTCGTTGCATGTTTTCCCCAACTTCAGTTCTGATCAGTCTACTCGACAAGTTGATCATGAGACCTGCTCTAAGCAGGAAAAGGTCTACGATTTTCAAAGGTACGACACAAGAGTATGGTCATTTAGAACATTGGTCAGAGAGTAGAAATTTACATCAACTGAGCACGAATGACCGTAATCCCTCAGTGACAAGTGATATTTCTTCTGATTAGCATAGATGGTGTGAGGTTAAATTAGCCCTATCTGATCTACGTTCAAAAGATTTAAACACTGGCTCTGAAGTCATTGAGGTTGGGCTTTTCTGTCCCATACGAATGCCTGAACTCCTTGTATCAGTATTTGATCCATCATGTTGAAGCCATCGTGAGGCAAACTGAACATCGTACTTCAGAGGCTGAAAACCAAGTGCACCAAAACTCGTTCTATGGGAATAAGGAAAAAATATCCAGATCTTGCCATAATATAAACTCAGTTAACTTTTAGTGTACTTGCTTCTCTTATAGGGTTACCGCATATTTGGCGACAATTTAAAAAGAGATACTCACTCTTCTATATCCAGACCAAAGTCGTACTACTAGATTGCTCAGTGCATTTAACGTCAGTATTGGAAAACTTCAAGGCATACGTACGAATAGCATTCAATCATAACAGTGTCATGATTCACGCAGGGCCGCGCTAGTGCGCCACCACGCCTGTGCTCTGAATGTCAGAATAAGTCAACACAGCTCTAAAATTCTTCACTCGATCTCAGAGTTTGTTTCCCTGGTAGTAATTGCCCTGACAGCACGAGGACACTTCAAACTGTTTGACAGTGCATTACGTTCCAGTCCAGCACCAGGAAAACCGCTGTTTTTGAAGGTTGTAGTACCACATCAGGACTGTTGAAAATTGTTGAACTATCCGATGTCAGAACTAGTGAAATCCCTTATGAAAGCCAGCAAGCCATATCACTGGTTTTGCACAGACTGAGTACGTCAACTAACAAGACAAGTTGGAGGCATGTTGGAGCTATGATGCAGGAAGACCATACAAGGACCTCACATTCTTCATATCCTTTCTGAAATTAGAAATCCTTGGTTAGTCAACTAACCAGAAGACTCTAAGAAAGCCTTCAAATGTCCACAGTCAACGCAATACCTCGATCATGTAATCATAAGCATAATCTCAAAATTCGATGATTATCCCTAAAATCAGTCTTGACTCGACTACAAAAGCATTTAATTTAGCATTCCAAAGGACAGTTCTTGACAAAACGGATTTCCGGAAGGGAATGCCGGATATTAAGCGAAAGTGGAAGAATAAACACAGTCGGATTAAGCGCGATTCATTAATGCTAATGTCCGTGCAGTAGTGCTTGTAATAAAGGAGCAAAAATTTTAGTACATGTTCAGCAGTGTATTCCTATAAACCACTGCCATGATACTGTATTTTGGTCAATTCGATAGCTGAAAGTTGAGGTCAAACGAACCACTTGGGGAAAATTTCCATCTCTGCTTTATTATCAACCTGATTCAACCATTTCTGGGAGTATGTGTCCTGACACACGCATCTTCAAGAAAAAAATTGCATTTACATCTACATCTAAGGCTAAAGAACATTGCATAACAGGGCTTTCTGTCTTATTCGGAAACCAGCCCAATAGCTAGAATTAAAAAAAAAACGATCTACAATGTTCCTGTAACTAGATTCTTGCGATAATTTGAAGATCATATCAACAACAGAAGCCGTGCATTATCGACATGAGATTTTAGTTAGACTAGGAACAGTCTTCTTTAATTACAATATATAGTGAGTAGACGTAACCTTTACAACTGAAGGTCGTTCACAGAAGCCATGCTATTGGGTAGTGGTCGTTGTAGAGTGCTGTATAATAAGCTCTGATGAATATAAATATCTTTCAGTAAAAGCTTCAAATGTGTCGAGTACGTTATTGATTGCTTTTCACTTTCTGTCGTAGACTGACATTAAGGGTACATTACTTTCGATGCAAATGCCTCAAAATTATAGCAAGCGTGAGGTAATGGTAGAAAACTCTCGCTTTCGACATTGTTGACAAACTGACGAAATCGTTCTTGAAGCTATAAGAAAGTTCATCTAAATCATCTACAATTGACTCTGGAAAGTTATGGAGAGGAACCCTTCTGATATCTGCCTGTGAAGAACAAGATTCCTGACTCCAATGTGTAGGGCAGTGTAGAGCTGTTCTACTGTAGTATCTGTATCGAGGCTAAACTTGTCACCAGATGTCAAAGGTGCCTGCATATATAGACCTAAGACGAGATCTGAGAGCCATATTCATGTATCAGAACATATGAAGATGCTAGGCCTTAGTGGTTCCAAATCTAGTGTCATTAGCTACACCAGTAATCACCGATACGATACACTTGTGTTGAGGAGCACGTGGAACATTATGAGCGAGAAGCATCTTCTGTAATTAATGACTCTACAGGGTGTGCAGCCATCACATGTTTAGTGGGACACACACAGTGAGTACTGTTGGACTGCGTATCACGAACTTACAGGATGTATCATAGTCACTTAGATGATTAGTCAAGTAGTTTAATTCTGGAAGGACAATTACTTGATCTCTACAGTTCGTTCATTCTTTCATTTGATTGAGACGATTAGGCTCCTTTGGAAACAAAATTCAAACTTCTGTATCTTTAGAAGACTATACCAGACACAGTTTGTGCAAGCCTTCAACTCAGATTTGAATCCCATGACCTGGAATACAATATAATTATATTACATTTTTGCTAGATGTGCACATCAATCAATCTCTAGGATTCTGCCCATCCATAGGTAGAAAGAGTTTTGTCGCTCCCGTCTAGCCTTTACCGTTAAGCTCATGAACAATCCAGGTAGGGGTCAGTAGGAACACTCGCAAATGTTTACATGATACTTGTCTCGAATTATAGATAATCAGCATGTAATCTTGTCTGGAGTCTGGGAAGGTGAAGGTTTCAACAACGTCATTCTCACTTTCCTTTGGGACTTGGTGGAATAATAAATCCACTTCTGCACATAACAGGATTCGGACACTCAGGTCCACCATACCGTACTCAATCTCGAAAATGGAAGACAAGTTGAGTGTAAGCATAGATGAGTTATTTTCCTACACACAATTGACTACTGTAGTTATAGATTTGCGAACATTTCAAAAGTCAATTAAGGACGATCGACATAATAATACAAGACGTATGTCACCTGTAATACACACTTACCCAGTTCATAATTCTGGCGTGACAGTCACCAGTTGAGTATGAGCATAGATGAGTTATTTTCCTACACACAATTGACTACTGTAGTTTTAGATTTGCGAACATTTCAAAAGTCAATCAACGACGATCGACATAATAATACAAGACGTATATCATAAGAATTAGGAACTCGGTAAGTGTGTATTACAATACACACTTACCGAGATCCTAATTCTGTCGTGACTGTCATCCGCTTGTCTCACTGTTTCGTGTCACTATTAACCTTTAGGACGGTTCATCTCAAGCCTCGGTGACTTCAACAGCGTGCATACGTGCATATTACGGTCGGGATACGTCGAGATCATCCTGAATGACGATTCTCGGTGAGCCTGGCCCTGGCCTAGCTTCTTGAGCCTGATTCCTTATTTATTACGAAAAGTGTGCATACAGGGAAGATACTAATGCCGTTTAGACTTAGCTGCAGGAATTTTACCACTTAAATGAGAAGATTGCAAAAACCTTCACTTACTTGAGTTCAAACTGATCATCATGCATCTTATCGTTGCCTCAGGCAGCTTTCAGACAGACAAATAAGCCGTAACAAACCTCACACGCATTATGCGCTCGTGAAATTCGGTCTTCGAGTAACCCGTGAAAATTGAGTAACCCGAACTCACTCGAGTTATAACTCGGTGAGTCAGATTAGAAAGACAGGAATCAATGTAAAAGTGGAAAATCTGGAATGTGCGATCCCGTAATCACGTACTTAGCTCATCATCACGTAGGCCGAATTAAAGCACAAAGCAACGGATCCTTGTGTGTGCATACTTGTATCAACCAGGATTGATCCTAACTCGTGAGACATATTATCGAATTATAGGCTTTACACTCTTAATTTCGACAATCTTATAATACTGTTATCAATGAGTTTTATGATAGCGAAAGAAGACTAGAACGTGCTTCTGATTTTGTCCAGGAATGAATGCTATTCCGAATTTCGTACTGAATTATACACCGGAAAGGCAACTCATCGACCTTACACAAAATATGTGTTCGAGACGAGGTGTAGAGACGGTCAAACATATCAGATGGAGAAACTATGAGACCTGAGTGTAGTCTCCACCTGAAAGTATCTGTTGATCATTTTGTGAAAAGGTTGATCAATCAAATCAATAGACATGATATACGAATTTCAAAAGCCAACGAATGCAGCCTAATGAAACAAAGTTCAGATGTGATAGCTGATGCTCTTCCTCGGATGCTATGAATATGGGGCCAACTGCAACCAGTTTCTTTCTTTCGATGCTTACTACGTTTGCTTAGACATATATTATTCTTAACTGTACAACCGTTGTGCGAAGAAATGGCAGTTCAAATGGCATGGGTGACAAAGGGCAATCATAAACTAAATGTGAAGGGAAGAGTAGCTACAAATGCTAAGAAGAAGACAATCAGCGAAGCCATCTCCTCGCAAACTCGTGAATTCACTCTCTTGTATTGCAACTGCATGTTGATTCTCCGCGGAAGGGCATGTCTGTAAGTAGATTCTATCGTGAGTGGTTAATCGGATTGTGGCGAATAGACTTCCTAGATATGGTAGAGAATCCACCCATCACGTCTATTAATTTGCTAACTGGCGTCAACTCAAAGACGATTACAGTTGTCACCAGGATTTAATGTATTTTAAAGTAAGTCGTATAGAGAACGGTGGCATGAACTCAGGAAACCGATGTAATAGGAGCTAGCACTTCAATCGTAAGGTGTCAAATATTTTAGTCCAGGAAATGTTACTGAAAATGCTGAGTGACGTCAATAAAAGCACTCAGAACCTTTTAATTGTTTTCTTATCGATTTCCCATGTTCAGAGTTACTTTAAAAGCATAGGTCCCGCTTTCATCCATAGGAGGGGCGAAACGTACCTCATGTGACATAGCCTTCTTCAGAAAGTGCACGATTGAAGGAGGATGGAAAGATTCCAATTTCAGTTTCTCTCCTCACTTGCAGGCACTTGCACGCTCCCCGGGCCTAAGGTTGCTGCAAGCTGAACAAGAAGGTTTTCGGAATTTTATATTCAGTGCCTCTTGGCCTGATTTCTTGTATAAGGTATCTTCTGGCTTACCTGAATTTGTATGTTCGGAATCTTCAAATGCTACAAAGTAGCATCGTATTTCGAGTACTTTCAAAAACACGTCCCAGGAGGTTCTTCTGTACATGATCTTCGAGGTGGCCAAGGTCTCCAATTCAGAGAGCGCGTGAGTCCCGAATCATGAGGTCAACTTACTCAAACTCTAAAATTTATTGAGTAAGCGGACAGTACAGATTATTATATCTATATGGTCTAGATATGGTCTATAGAATGCACCAGACACTAAATGCTGTAGTCGCCCACAGTTTGAGAGTATCAATCTCGAGGACCTGGGCAGCTGCTGTTCATTTCCAGCACATTCGCGACTGCTTAAACCTCCACATACGACGGAATACAGTAATCAGGGAGCTGCATCATCAGATTCAAGAAGCGGTTCTGTTAAACTCAACAAGAAGGCGAGGTCAATTCTACGATTCTACGAAACTGGAAGTAAGACCTCGGCAATGATTCTGCAAACCATGTTATTATTACGTCCTTCGAGATGTTGGCGACAAGACTTTGCGAAGTCTTGTCAGCAGAGTGTGGGAATTGTTTTCGAGGTAGATGGGAAGTCTGTGCGAAGAATGAATTCGTCTCAAAATTTCGCTTTGCAGATTTCACCTCGATACAATCCTTAATATAATTCTACAGTAACTTCAGTGTATGTACGTGGAATGTAGAGTATAACCTCCGAACTTCATCAATGGAAGTGGCCTTGTACACCACCTGGCGGGAAGCTTGAAATAACTACTTCGATTGCATGCAAATTTCAGTCTATGAAGACGATACCTCTCCCGTACGTATTTCCCTTCGGACTCTTCTTGCAACCCGTTCGTGACCGCCATTGTCGGCGAGCAAGCTCATAATAAAAGGCCAACCTTGAACGTTCCAAGGAAGGGCAAATGAAATTTCTTACTCACGCAGAAGTGCTGGATTTCATACATGCATGATGATATTCTAGCCCAGCAGTAAGTAGTGTAATTGCAATCACCCTCGGTGTTGGATTATCGACTGGCGAGAAGTCCAAGTAAGTTATCATGGGTTTAAATGCACGAGGATACCTGAACTATCACACCGAAAAAATACGTACACACTCGATGCACACCGTTAGTCTTAACTACCATTGCCGTCATCTTATCCAAACTGCAGTTCAGCAGTTTCTGGAACTGGAATCTAATAAACGTCTCTGCTCCATATCAATAATTTTTGTCCACGCAATAAGTTACGAGAAGTTGTTTTTCGATTAATGTGAAGTCCCCAAGGAGCCATTATGTGTGCATTTATTGATCTGCAAGAAGAATAAATATGTACATTACCTTGTCAGCTCCTGATTCTACGAGCAGCTGTCGTGAGCATGAATTCAGTATTAGTGTACGCTAGTATGTAGATCAGAACTGCTGTGCAGCGTAGTAGTCACCGTGATGGCTCTTGGACCCTTCACGAGAGTTGGGTTTGACGAACGAGCCCTCGTGGTGGTAGGCCCGACCGCCATGGCTGGTGAGGTCCATGCCCGCAATTTCATCGGCCGATGAAATTCTGAGCAGATTGCTCCTGTTCAGAAACCAGAAACAGGGAACCATGGTCACAGTGACCCAGCCGATGACGACGACGATCTCCACGAGCTGCGCAGCCAAGAGCCTTCCTCCTCCTCCCATCAGAAGGCCGTGGCCACGGCCAGAGCCATAAGCTTCGAGGACGTACTTCTCTGTCGCGAAGAGCCCCGTGAAGAGCAGGCCCCAGGCCCCGCAGCCGCCATGAAGCTGAGCGGCTTCCAGAGGGTCGTCATAGTTCAGCCTCTGGGCGACGCAGTTCAGTCCCATGAGCACCCACGCGGCCCCGAACCCACAGGCCACCCCGGCCCAGGGCTCGACGACGGCGCAGCCTGCTGTTACGGCCGCGAAGCCGGCCAGCAGCCCGTTGCACACGTCGGTCACCAGCCAGTGGCCGGTCATCCAGCGTCGGGCGAAGAGAGTAGTGAGGGCCCCCGAGCAACCGGCCAGCGTGGTGGTGATGGCCGTGCGGCCGACGCCGGTCCAGTTTCCCTCGAAGCTCGAGCCTCGGAAGGGCACGAGGATCCGGACGAACGAGCCCGGGTTGAAGCCGAACCAGCCGAACCAGAGCAGGAAGCTGCCGAGCACCACGAGCGAGGCGTTGTGACCTCTCATGTCCAGGCCGGGTTTACCGTCGCGGGTGAACTTGCCGAGGCGAGGGCCCTCGATGAAGGCACCCCAGAGCCCCGCGACGCCGCCCACCATGTGGACGACGCCGCCGCCCGCGAAGTCGATGGCGCCCACGCCGAACAGCCGGTGGCCGGTGGCCGCGGCACCGAGCCAGCCGTCAACGGACCACACCCAGTGCGCGACCATGGGGTAGACGAAGCCCGTGAGGAAGGACGAGTAGACGAGGTAGGCCGCGAACTGCGTCCGCTCGGCGATGGAGCCGCTGGTGATGCCCGCGGCGGCGATGGCGAACGCCCACTGGAAGAGGAAGAAGCTGTAGTCGAAGGCGTCGACGTGGTCGGGCATCTCACGCAGTCCGTAGAAGTTGCTGCCGATGAAGGCGTTGTTCTGCGAGCCTCGGCCGAAGGCGAACCCGAACCCGAAGAGGTAGAACAAGATGGCCCCTGCCGCTGCGTCTACCACGTTGGTCAGCATGACGTTCATGGTGTTCTTGGCCCGCACCGAGCCCGCGCAAAGCATGGCGAAGCCGATCTGCATGGAGAAGACGAGGTACGTCGAGAACAGCAAGTAGATGCTGTCCACGGCCATGCTCTGGCTCGACAGCGCTGTCGAAACCACGTCGAATTTGGAGCACACCAGCTCTCCGACTTGGTTCGAGCGCTCTGCGCTCATTCCTGCTGAGTTCAGCAGACCTGCGAAGATGCCCTCATCGTTGTCCACGCAGCCAACCATCTTCAGAGTTCGAGCTGGAGCTGAAGCTGGACCTGGACCTGCAGCTTCAGACTCGACGTCGTGCAAACCTTATTATTACAACTCACTTCGAGTTCCCACTGATGTACACCTCGATTAGACCTCGATCTCCATCTGACACAGGTCGCTACAGCTGGTGGTTTGTCCATGTACAGAGCTTGAAGTTGAGCTGCTGAATCCTGGGGATGGATAGCCTTCTTATAACTTCCGCTGCACCTGGAGGTGTTGATGTTCACACACCATTTGAAAATGGATAATTATTCCTGGGAATCTTACCTGCCAGCTCGAGTCCTAATGGGAGCCATTTTGGAGGTTTGTTGTCCCTGCATATTGCGTGTGGTCAGTTCGAGCCTCTACCGACATTTTTCCGCTTCACATTGATGAATCAAACCAGCTCAATATACATCTATCGAGGTTTCTGAAGGTCAATCTAATTATGGTCTCGAACCCAAATATTGTCCATGCACGTTCATTGCGGTAACGCAGTTACGATTTTAGTTAGGCCCTCTGCGAATGAAGGTTACGAGTAAGGTGGGAGAATCTTCCCACCTTCTTCGCTTCTTGACTGTTCATGCGTATTTTTAGACACCACTTGACCAAATTCGTAAACTACAAAAACCCACAAAGATCACAACTCAGTATGAATCCCTTAAGAAACCGTTAAACTCCTCTCGATCACAGCTGCAGCTGTTCAGTACGAAGGCTTTGAAGATGGTCTCGCTTCCTTCAGACTGCAAAGACGTACTACAAGTTCCTTCGTCCTAGACAGACAGAATACCATGGGTCAAAATAACCTGGGTACAGACGCAGAACACGGCATACCCTGTCAAAGTCATATCGACACGGAAGGGTAGTTTCAAATGTATCGTAGGAGCTGTTCAATTTCCCGTCGTGCTGGTATCGGATGAGCACGACTTTCTGCTTCTACAGGATCATCGATTCGACGATCTGGAGAAAACCAAAGCGGAATGTATCGCCCGTCTCCCTATATGTATGAATCGGTGAGCATTTCACTTCTCCTTGTCTTGAATTTACAGAATTGTTTCTTTCCTTTGCTGTACGCCTCGAGCTATTACTACAGTACCCAGTGAACGAAGAAGGCAATCAGCTCCCTTTATGGTGTTGCCTCTGAAACTTGGTTTCTTGCCAATGTAATCTTGGTTCCTAGTATGAGCAAATATCTTTTCTTTTTAGTCTAGTTTATCCTTACATATGTTGTAGCCATTATACATACAAAAAGATATACTTGGGAAAAAAAAACTCAGTCACATCAGAGGGCCATAAGGTTTAGCTCATTTGGTTTTGACTTGATCTTTGAATTTTTCTAGTTGAACATGCTTATTCTTCGTTATGTACAGAATATGCAAATTGAACAAGATGCACTTGAATGCACTTGTGCATTCAAGTGCAAGGGTGCATCATTCTAATATGACTTTTTCAGGAAATTCATTAGACTGCATGGAAACATTGTCTGAGTCATTTTCCAGGATATCTTTAGAGATTTCAAAGCATCGAGTCAGAACTTGTGCATGAATGCGTCTTTCGTTGAAAAGCTTACTTGAAGCAGCAACTGGCAGTCATGAACACTACTTTCCAACACAGTTCTAGAAGCTTAGAAGGGACTAGATCACAATCTTTGCTCCTGCACAAGTGAATTTTACCACAATTTCTCGAGTGTCTGGAATTTGACAATTTCGACTCCGGCCTTGCAGGACTTTTCCTTTCAATAAAGATCGGTTCCGCAATTCCCATTTCACTTCGCAGTTCGCTGTATGAAGATTTCGCATCCAGGTGCTGATACCTGCCAAGAATCGAGAGGTTCTAGATTCTGTCCTATGCTCGTCGAAACAGCCTCCTGTGAGATGAGCGTCAAGTTGAGTGCACACAGATTTCTGTCTACGGTTTAGCATCCAAACGAGGTTCGAATATACAGGCCTGACAAAATCCCTTAGTCCAAAGCTCGCTCAGCTCTTTTAGAAACCGACAACAATTATATGTATCCGAAAAATTCGGTATAGTAGGTGATCCCAGGAATTTCCATCGCTGTTTTCCGGGCTTATCCGCGAAATCGAACGTGATCGTATTGAAGTTGTGGGCATTCATGATCAGAAGCTTATCGCCATGCACCTTGTCTCCGAGCGGAAAGAATAAAAGGTTGCTCAGCGTTTCTGAAATCGAGCGTTTCTTCGGTCTCCTGAATCTTCTCGTCACACGGTACTCGGGCTCCGTAGTGGTCACAAGCAGCGAAGCGAATCTCCTAGGCAGGATGTCCAGCCGTCTCCAGCAAAGTGTGTCATCATTCTCACTCCGAGACAGGCTCCGTGTCCAGATTTCTAAGCCCGTCGACCGAAAATTCCTCACGATCGTCACTAAAATCAATTCTCCATCTCTCTCGAATATTTTCATTAAACACTTTCTGCGAAGCAGTTTGTTTATTCGTGATGACTCTGCTGGTATCCAATTGATTGGTAGATGGAAAGTCCACTGTTGGCTCTGAATATCAAGCCACACAACATTTCCCTTATGGATGCAATCTACTACGCTCATTGGATAGAAGCACAGCTGCCCATCTTCGTATCGAAACCTCTGCAATAAATGGAGATGCACGAATGATTCCTGGCCTGGAATAATTTCAGGCTTGATATCCGGAAGATCCAACCATAAGCCATTGTCGGACGAATAGAGCGAGAATTTTCTCGTCGGGGAGATTATCATCTCGTAATGCCCAGCAACATTGCCCAGCAGCCGTGGATCCGGACCATCAACCCTGAGTGCGTAATCTTGCACGAGTATGCCATAGGATCCAGTCTTCTTGTGCTCAGTGATGAGTATACTGAGACTTGAATTGCTGTTCTGCGCAGTGACAGGGAATGGGAAAGTAGATACCTCGCCCGTGAGGGGATTGCAAACCTTGACAAAGAGAGCCCCAGCTCCTCGTCCCAGAGCATACACTAAACCGCCGGCAGTGGCCAGGGATTTGCTGGTCATGTTGGTCAGAAAGGATCCAGGCCCTGGGAGTGATTTGTACCTCCATTGATGGTAAGTGGGATCATAGAAAAGAAAAACTTCTGGCCGATTTGGATTGTGCAGGAAGATCCACTTCTCATCCGGCCTGTTCTTGGCCCACTCGTTGGTTAGAAATCTGTCTGAAGAGAGTATTCTGCTCCACTCGCAGTTGACACTACGGTTTGAAAGCACGCTCGCTGCTGGCAGTCGGCTCAGTATGTCCCTTTTCACTCCTTCACAAAGGTCGTCAAATTCTGCTCGCCGCGAGGTTGAAAGTGATAGAGGCGATGGTAGCAGGCCCGACTTTGATCGTTTTCGATGGTAGGCAGGGATGTACTTCGTGAGACCCAAAAAAGGCTGAGATCTTATCTGCCGTGCTGAACGCTTTGCTCTGCACGAGAATGAAAGGAGTTTCAACTCCTCGCATAACACAAACGAGCTCTCGTCCTCGTGCATCTCTTCTCCTTCAGTTATTTCAAACTCTGAGTCGAAGGAGCTGCTGGAAACATCTAAATCTTCTCCAAATCCCGTGCCGTCATCACTGGAACCACCCATCCTCGTGTCTCGGAAAGCCTCTGGTCTGCTACCATAGGGAAAATACCGCAATTCCATCGAATCAAAGTGTTCCAGGGTAGCTGGATATGCCTAAGCTTGAAACCGATGGACAAGACGAAGCTGCGGTGGGCTCCAATAACTTTAATCAGCGGACTGATTGAGGAGCTCATTGATAGCCATAAGTGGACTGGAAATCCGACATCAGTTCCTGAGAAATCCATCAGTTTCCTGGAAATCCATATGCTTCGACGATCGAGCGCTTCGAAAGCAGTCCTCCTCCTTCAGTCCCGAAAGCCTCACCTTGAACCTCTCGATCACTCAAGTGGAGGCTTTCCACTGAAAAGTCATGCAACAAATTCGCTGCCCGATTCCATGAGCAGTCATAGCAATCTACTCATTTTGCTATGAGCTTCCAGTCCATCGACCGATGAGGCTGGAATGACAGGCAGCCGTGACTCCAGCACTCGACGGCTCTTTATACATGAAGCTATGAGGAACTCAAAATCCATCCGACATGTGCAACGGCTTAAAGTATCGGACAGAACTCAAATCAACGACACTCATTACAACGGACAGATCCTAGCGTGAAAGTCTTGGAGACTTTTCCATCAGATCTTATGCCCAATGGCCACGTTCTCAGATTCCATATTGAGATTTCGACAAAACTCCACGACATTATTACATCGTTCCAATTGTCATCAGTCTTCCGTTATGAGGGGAGGGGATTCTGATCCAAGCAGAAACCGTTGCGGCTGGAAGCCGAAGCAAAGCTGACTGTTTGGAATTCAGGGTCCTGCTTGGGATGAAGCTCTCGAGAGAGCATCGGATGACTTGCGATAATTGAATTTCTATTGCACCTGGAAAACATCAGGCCGTGTAAAATGTAAATATCTACAGCTATCAATATATCGATGAGAACCGAGGGTTGTAAAACCCTCACGAAGGCTCAGCGTGCAGTTGTATGTTCGGTCTGTGCTCGACCTTCCCATCACTCGAGGCCTCATTTATATGGACACCAACCTGAGTAATCAATCGACTTGCACCACAACAGTTTTCACCTCGTCTTGCGACTTAAGCGTTGCTTTTCCTGTGCAGACTTGCACAGGGAAAGCAATGGAGCTTTGGACTCCTAATTCTTGAATAGAATGGACTAGTAGCATGTGAGTTGCTGTTCCAAGAGGTCAATCTGCTCTGGTGTGCTAAGCTTGCGCGTGTGATTACATGTGCTGGTGATATTTGGTGTAAGAAATGAGCTCCGAGCAGTCATTCTGTTTCAATTGTCATGGGAGATCATGGTGAACGATCTCTGCATTCACATTTCTGGACTCATTCAGTATTATCTATTTACAGCAGGTGTCAAAGGCAACATTCCGATTCACAGTACGAACATTCTTGTCAGGTCAAGACAGGTTGTTTCTTTTCCAGTTTTCTCCAGTTTTCTCGCCCACATGTGTTTGGAAGACCACTTGAACTGCTGCAGTTGTATCTTCAGAGTCGACGAGAAGGTCTGCGCTAGCACATAGACAGCCAACACTGTTCTGAAAGAAATGTAAAAGTCGAGGTTTCAACTCAGTAAGGACTTTCTTCTCACGCGACTTTCATGCACACGTGATGACTTCATTCCCTGGAGAGTCCATGAAGTCATACTGTTTATTCCCTTCAACTTGATGAACTTTGGATTGATGATGTCCATTGCCTTCACACGAAGTCAACACTGCATTCAGAAAGAAGAGGAAGTTTCTTCGTGGGTGGTCAGTAAGAGTTAGAGTTATGTGCCTGTGTCTACGATGGTTTTACGCCGTGTAAAGTTCTTCGTGTGCAATGCTTATACGATGGTTCTAGTGATTGAACGAGCAAACGAGACACGCTTTTGGATTGAAGTCAATGATTCGAGCCAAATATCGAGACGTTCATCTCCTGAGATCATCAAAATGGAAGATACGATGTGGTCAGGTTGCAACTGACCACCACTGAGCTCAACCTGAAGCACAACTTACAATAGCGTGATGTGACGAGTTTATAAAAGAAACGACCTCCTCAGACCAGGTTGCACCGAACACAATGATTACGCCTCTTTACATCAATCGAAAAGAGAGATGTAAAAATCATAGAATACATGTCCTGAAATCAGTGAACAGGGCATGTTCACATTTGCATCCAAAAATTCTGCACTGATTGAAGTGCAGTTACCATCGCAGAGCTCTAGAACGTCGTTAGAATCGCATCGATCAAGAGGGCAAAATTCATAATCATCCAGCTTTGCATCTGCTGAAGAAATTGAACATGAGCGTGTGCTGACTACAGAAGAGATATGCATTTGAGATACAGAATTGTAGAAGTAAACCCTAGACTTGAGTCCGAGTTGAGACCGAGGCCTCAACTTCAGTGAAGAAAGTACCAACGCAGATATGCAGGTCGGATGTGAATTCAGAGCCTCCGAGACGTTCAAGACACTCAAACAGGGTTCACAGAGCAGGAGACATAGTATCATTTGGCAGCAGTTGCAGGCATTCCATCTGGAACCAACATATTTCTAGAGGACATGAGAAGTACATGTACCGATTGTCACTAATCTGCCAGTCCCAGAGCTCGATGTGTATAGTAGGGCTCTTTTCTCTCGGATCCGAATATATTACTAATATTTTTACTGCATTATTGGCTCCCTGTGAAAAACGGTTTCGAGTCGCCACAGGGCCTGGCCAACGAGAGCAAGCTACAATGAGTGCTAGACACAATGATCCCCAGCAGAGCAATGGTATCCATATTTAGAATGGCCTTCAGGACCTTTGGTAGGCATTGAGCTGGCTCTCAACTTGAAGAGCCTTGTCTCAGAACAAGAGACTGACCGTATGATCTCCAACAAGGACAATATTCTCAAGCTGTCGACGGAATTGTGAATCTCCGGGGCTTGCAGTACTTGACCTTCAAAGCCTGCGATAGACATGGGGCTGGATCGGTGAGTCGGAGGGGAATCTTTGCACAATCCCAGACCCCGGGTTGAGCACTCGACTGCACTATGAAAGCAGCCAGAATGTTCCTCAATTCCATCAGCTCATCTTCCTCCTCTCTCTCTGCTGGCAGGTCGAACATCGGCCTCCTGAGGTCGACACCCGAGGTCTGGCTAGAGTGAGTGTATAAGACAGCTTAATGATCCAGTGAGAGCAGCAGCCTCAAAGCCCTCTCCAGGTCTTGATGGCATTGGCCTAGCTCTCAAGCCCGCCCGCCCAGAGCTCAGACATTCTTCTGAGCTGCAATTCTGAAAGTGCATGCTACCGATGAGCGCAAGGCAGTTCTGATTTGGGATCCCAATCGGTTGTAATCGGAGACAGTGATAGAGGGAATCAGAAAGGCTTGCAAAGATGGCCGGGTGCGTGGAAGGAGATTTGGCCAGTCTCACGGGGCTGCTGACGGCAGCAGGCCTGAGCAATGCCAGCTCCATCGGGGAGTTCATGTGCAGCAAATTCGCCGACGTCTCGTCGAGTTTGTCCACCCACACGCTGGCCGTGGACAACATCTACCTGCTCTTCTCGACGTACCTGGTCTTCTCCATGCAGATCGGCTTCGCCATGCTGTGTGCAGGATCGGTTCGAGCCAAAAACACCATGAACATCATGATGACCAATGTGCTGGACGCAGCGGCGGGAGGCATCTCGTTCTACCTCTTCGGATTCGGTTTCGCCTTCGGGCGCAGCCAGACCAACAATGGCTTCATCGGCAGCAACTTCTTCGGCCTGCACAAAATGCCCAACGAGACCAATGGCTTCGACTTCAGCTTCTTCCTCTTCCAGTGGGCGTTCGCCATCGCTGCAGCAGGAATCACCAGCGGCTCCATCGCCGAGCGCACGCAGTTCGTCGCCTACCTCGTCTACTCATCCTTCCTCACTGGCTTCGTGTACCCGATCGTCGCGCACTGGATGTGGTCCATCGACGGATGGCTGGGCGCCGCCGCTGTCACTAACCGATTATTCGGAGTGGGAGCCATCGACTTCGCAGGCAGTGGAGTAGTGCATATGGTGGGAGGCATCGCAGGCCTCTGGGGAGCATACATTGAAGGCCCGAGAATTGGCCGATTCGGAAGCAAAGGCCAGCCCGGCATGGACATGAGAGGCCACAACGCTTCGCTCGTCGTGCTCGGCAGCTTCTTGTTGTGGTTCGGATGGTTCGGATTCAACCCAGGCTCGTACGTCAAAATTGTGGTCCCCTATGCCGGCTCGGCCTTCGAAGGCAACTGGACTGGAGTGGGCAGGACCGGAGTCACCACCACCCTCGCAGGATGCACTGCAGCTCTGACCACGCTCTTCGGTCGCAGATGGATGACGGGCCACTGGAATGTGCTCGATGTGTGCAATGGTTTGTTGGGAGGGTTCGCAGCGATCACGGCCGGGTGTGCTGTGGTGGAACCGTGGGCCGCCATCATCTGTGGATTTGGAGCTGCATGGGTGCTCATGGGATTCAACCACCTCGCACCCAAGTTCAAATATGACGACCCTCTGGAAGCTGCGCAGCTGCACGGAGGTTGTGGAGCTTGGGGACTGCTTTTCACGGGCTTGTTTGCGAGAGAGAAGTATGTATTCGAGGCTTATGGACCAGACCGTGGACACGGCCTCTTCATGGGCGGTGGTGGCAGGCTTCTTGCTGCTCAGCTCATCGAGATTCTGGTGGTTATTGGATGGGTAACTGCCACCATGGTTCCGTGCTTCTATCTTCTGGACAGGTACAAACTGTTGAGGATTTCACCTGAGGATGAAATGGCGGGTATGGATCTCACCAGCCATGGCGGTACTGCTTACTCCAACGAGGACCCAATTCTTCTTCCTCCTCTCTCCGTCAGGGCAGGACAAAATTTCGCTAAGGCCGATTCTGTGAACGCCAGTCGTGAAGGATCCAGGAACAACAGAGAAATGCAAGAAGCCATTTGAGACATCTGGTCACGGTGAAACACATTCACATATTAGCAAGAGATTGTAGTTTGGCATTCGTTGTAGTCAGTCCGACCACAAATGATCTCTCGATCGATCACAAGTGAAGTCAGATTGATGACGCATATTTAGCAGTAGTTGGGTCGAATGATTCCAAAAAATTGAATTTAGATAGATTTTCCTAGTGCTGGATGTCGAAGATGTAACGACCCGATTGATCGATCGATCAATCAGCTCCAGCTTATCAATAAGCACCAATCCTTTACCGACTTCCAGATAAATAATCTGAAGTCCTTATATGAATTACAAATAGTTTATGATCAAGCATACTTGAGTCTTTGTAAACTCGCTCGCTTGGATGAATATAAAAGACGCCATTGTGATTCTTACTTTCCGATCATTCTATTTATCAGTATGAAAGTTTAAGTATTTCCTGAAGATCCTGTTCTTGATAGTGGAAATACCTTGAGTTTATCTTGTTCGTAACAAAGCGAGGATCTAGTCATGGAACCTCATCTCTCCGAGGGGAGACTGTAATAGGAATCAGAGAACCCACATGGAGAATCACATAGAACTTCGAGATTCGAATCGACTTTTGCTGTTTGAACACCAAGACTTTCTACCCCACTTCTGTTATTGAAGAAAATATTATCAACATGAAGAGCTCGACAAATGACAAATGCTACGGCAGCATATCTGTGTACAAAATCAAGTAAAGAATGACGGAGCTAACATATCTTCAGAGAGAGAGACCCACGTGGAGTGTAGATCATCAAGACTCAGCTACAAGAAGAATGCACCACTCACCTACTGAATAATTGCCTTGTGTTTAGCAAACATATCTATGAAGTTCCTAATTGTCAGGCACTCCATCGTCCGTGGGTCTTAGTCAGCTCATATAACTCATCAACGATATGGTTCCAAGTTGAGTCAGCTCATATAACTCATCAACGATATGGATCCAAGTTCAGGTCTTCTGAATCTTCAGATACCCCTAATTCTGTGGGGATTCATAATGTGGAGGGTTCATTCTAGATTTGGTGGTCTGATTGACAGTCTTGCTGGATACCTGATCATCTCTGAAAGCTACAGTTTTTCCGTCGTCCAGCAACATTTCAAGAAAACATAAGAAATAATCTGATCTGCGTCCCTTGCGACCATGGCCTGGTCCTTAGACTCTCGTGATGAAATCAAGAAACCAAGCCGTGTTCTCAAGTGACGCAGATCAGATTATTCCTTATGTTTCCTGTAGTAGGCAGTAGCAGCAACCCTTAAGGCACCACTCTCTAGCTTTTGATGCTTTTTGTCTAAGCTGGAATATCATGAAGTGCATGAACCTCATTAAAAGCCAGACAAGAACCTTCATCCCCCACCAACAGAGAGCATGAGGGGACTGAGCATCTATAAATATTCGACACCGGGTTGGCGTACGTACTCGGTCACGTTGGCTGAACTCCTTGGCTCCTTGCCCCTTGCAGAAAGGCAACGAGGAAACAAGATGGAATCAAGAATCGCTAATTGTCAGGATAGCATGACGAGATTCGACTCACTGTATGGGGCACAGAGTATAATGCAAAGTAGCATGGACACCGGTGACAGCAAATGTGTTTTATTTAGGTAGATCTAGGGTAGATCGCCGCAGCCTTTGGTTTCGGAGAACATATAAATGTCGTTGTTGTGGTACAAGCTTTTCGAATATCTAACAGATATTGCAAGTCCAAGAGGTTCTAACAGGAGAGCTCAGAACAGAACCTTCTTTCCCAACACAAATCGTGTGCCGTACTTCTCCCACATCCTTGGGTTTCTATGCCAACTCGACACATTCGATTGATTGTCATGAATCTTCTTCTGCAGGAAATTTCGAAGGTAGCTTTGACTCCAGATTCCTGGATCTGATCTTGCCCACGATGCTCGCTGCCAGCACTGACGGTAGATGTAAGTAACGAAGAACGACCACGTACTTGGCTGCAGATAATATGTGGAGAATACTTTCCGCTAAATATGATGCTGTAAAGCGCTACACAGCTTCAGATTCTTTCGCATTGGAGACAGTCAACCTTAAAGCCTTGACCTGATCTTGAATATTTCCAATTGATGCATAAATTCCGTACTTATTAGCTGTAGGTAGAGTCCACACTTTTAGCATCTCGTCAAAGTACATACTTCAGGTTGAAAAACCACGTTAAATTCTCCTTCTGTGACGCTGAACTGTAGTGTGGGCTGAATACTGTCTCAGTGATTGCACAATGATCTCAGCAACGTGGAGTACCTTTGAGTATGAATGTGGAGCCAATTTGAAACGTGTCTCGGCAATGTAATTTGAAACGTAGCATCTCTATGAGTAGAGATTGTGCTACAACATACCTTTGAAGTATTTTATGTATTTCATGATGAATATTTCTTCTGGGGAATGTAGACAATAGTTCATTTCTACAATAAATTTTTAAAGAATTGATTGATTCTGAATAAGTTAAGGCTACAAGTAGTCTAGAAGAGTGCCTAGCCCAGTGTTGTAGATCCGGACTTAGGCTGTATCTTTTTTGGTGCATATAAAAGGAAAATCAGTTCACATTCGACTTCTTATTGATCTTCGATCGACTTTTCCACCCTTGGTTTGAGTCGTCGTTGGGCCGCATTCTTTTCTTTTGAATCTTAGTACTTCTACGTATTCATTGACAGAGACTGAAGATTGACGATTTGACGATTACCCGTCCATAGAGGCCATTTGTAGGAGCTTCTCATCACGAGAAGCTTTCTGAAATCGATTGGGCTCCTGGAATTCTCGGAGTGAATATGAAGACTTTCCCAAAACTCATAGAAAGAATGTTACAGGTGATAAACAAGTAATTAAGCGGCTGCTTGAGTCATGCGTAGACAGTATAAAAGTAGGTTTCCCCATCAAAATTGCTCACAAATTGGTCCAGGAATCTAGTACATACACATCTAATTCTACGTCTACAGAATTTCACTTTTGCAGAGATTGAATCAAAATCACTTATTAAGAGAATTGATCGATCGATCAATTTCATCGATGGATGGTCTTGATCGCCTCTGAATCGACGTCCTAAGGCAACGGTCTGGCACACTTGTGCTCTATCTCGCTCACAAAGTTTATGAATCAACCTAGAGGTTGACGTACCGTTGTTCCAGTAGCTAAAATCACATGCACCTTGCTTTCGTATACTACTGCGCTTCTACTAAACCTTAAGTCCCGAATAGATCATCCGTGATCGACATCGATTTGAATACACTGAAATTCATCACGGGCCAAGATTGCAGTCTCACTATCTCATGGTACCGGGACCGATCAAAAGGAATAATTTACAACATTTCATTGTTCCAAATCGGGAAACTCTTGTTTCGGCAACCCCTTGGGTTGAACTCCGACCACCGCCCTTTGTCCAGGCAAGTGGAGAAACTGGCCGACACCGCCACCAGGTTGAAGGAACTCGGGAGTGACAGTCTCGTCCTCGTTATAATAAGCCTTGCCGCCGTGTCTGGTGAGATCCATACCGGCCATCTCATCCTCGGCCGAGATTCTGAGCAGATTGAATCGGTGCAACAGCCAGAAACATGGCACCATGGTGGCCGTCACCCACCCGACGACCACCAAAATCTCGATGATCTGAGCGGCGAACAGCTTGCCCCCTCCTCCCATGAACAGCCCGTGCCCACGCCCGGGGCCATAAGCCTCGGCGACATATCTCTCGTTCGCAAACAAGCCTGTGAAAAGCAGCCCCCACGCCCCGCATCCCCCGTGCAGCTGCGCAGCTTCCAGCGGATCGTCGTACCGCAATTTGGCAGCAATGTGATTGAATCCAATGAGCACCCACGCCGCCACGAACCCGCAGACGATAGCAGCCCAGGGCTCGACAACAGCGCAGCCCGCCGTAATGGCAGCAAAGCCTCCCAGCAGCCCGTTGCACACGTCGGTGACGATCCAGTGGCCGGTCATCCAGCGGCGCGCGAAGAGAGTGGTCAGAGCCGCCGTGCACCCGGCGAGCGTGGTGGTGACTCCGGTCCTTCCCACGCCGGTCCAATTGCCCTCGAACGTTGAGCCTTCGTAGGGGACGAGGATTTTGACGTACGAGCCCGGGTTGAAGCCGAACCAGCCGAACCAGAGCAGGAAGCTACCGAGTACAACGAGCGAGGCGTTGTGGCCGCGCATGTCCATGCCGGGCTTGCCGTCGCGGTTGTATCTGCCGAGGCGCGGGCCCTCGATGAAGGCCCCCCAGAGACCCGCAATGCCGCCTACCATGTGGACGACGCCGCTGCCCGCGAAGTCGATGGCGCCCACGCCGAAGAGCCGGTCCGTGGCCGCGGCCCCGAGCCAGCCGTCGACGGACCACATCCAATGTGCGACGATCGGGTAGACGAAGCCCGTGAGGAAGGACGAGTAGACGAGGTAGGCGACGAACTGCGTGCGCTCGGCGATGGAGCCGCTGGTGATTCCTGCTGCAGCGATGGCGAACGCCCACTGGAAGAGGAAGAAGCTGTAGTCGAAGCCGTCGAGCGAGCTGGGAATTTCATGCAGGCCGAAGAAGTTGCTGCCGATGAATTTGTTGTTGTTGGAGCTGCGCCCGAAGGCGAAGCCGAATCCGAAGAGGTAGAACGAGATGCCTCCCGCCGCTGCGTCCAGCACATTGGTCAGCATGATGTTCATGGTGTTCTTCGCCCGCACCGAGCCCGCGCACAGCATCGCGAAGCCTATCTGCATGGAGAAGACGAGGTACGTCGAGAACAAGAGGTACGTGTTGTCCACGGCCAGCGTGTGCGTGGCCAATGCCGTGGAGATTTCATCGAATTTCGAGCAGAGGAACTGCCCCACCTGGTCCGAGCTCCCCACATTGAGACCTGACGATGTCAACAGCCCTGTCAGTGCGCTCAGCTCCGAGCTCGCGCATCCTGCCATGTCTACCTTTGAATACCGATGGACATAAACCACGAGCTTCGATGGCTCTCTGACGACGTGCCGCGTGACGACGAGCTGCACTTCTTCTCTCTCCTTCCTTTTCGAGTATCGATGGTGGCAATTGTGCCTTCTTGAGCTTCTCTAGCACTCGATCCAACTCAAGCCCGAGTTGACCTGCAGTCGGATCAAAGTGATCGGGATTATTCTGCCAAGAAGCTCCCCCACTGGACGAGGAGCGGATGAGATGAGCGCAGCACGCATGCGCTTATGTATCGTAGAAAGAGGATCCTGCCATCGAAGGTAACAGTTGAGCTCCCACGGAGAAACGTTTCGGTATTGTTTGTGGTCACAAGTATGACGGTCAGGGATTATTGATGATTATAAAATGAATCTGTCTCCTGATCAGATCCCGAGATATCCACCTGCATTCCTGAAGGTCAGTGAGTCTTGGCTCATCATCAGAGCGATTGTTCTTCTTCGCTCGTGATACCACGTTAAGGGCAGGTCTCATTGAGCTTTCACTAATATTAGGCTCAAGATATGCATGATAGCCCTGCGTTTTGACCCAGTAATAGAATGACAGCTCTCGCGGTCGCTTTGGATTCATGGTCTCTGAGTATGCGAAGCCTGTCTGCTGCAGTTAACATACTCCTTGGGCTTCTTCGAGTTAGTGACCCGTGGGTTAATCGGGGAATCCATATATACATCCACCTGTAAGCACGCACGCAGGCAGGCAAGAGGGCTGCTGGAGTCGACATTGGCACAGTGATGACCATTCAGATTCTGCACTGTACGGTCGTAGGTCCTGTATATGTTCAACATTCCTGGACGGGTTGTCAAGACCTTGCTCCGCTGTTCTCTGCGTGACAAGCGAATGATTCTTTCTCCCAGCTAATTCTGGACTGGTCTCGGATTGTGGGTATTTGTCAAGACGATGACTTTTGGGGGTAAGTCACTTCACTACAGCTACAATTCATCTTCCTGAGAGCTGTAGAAACAAATGCTTTCACGAGTCCGTTCGGTCAGGTGAATGAAAATGAGTGCCTTCTGATCGAAGGTCATATCGTTGATGATCTTTGGATGTAAGTCGAAACGTCTTTCATGATAGATCTGGAGACTTATCATCGAAGGTAAATTCCTAATGTTTTTCTCAAGTATGTTTTATGATTATATGATGAACTCTAAAGCTGTAAAACTTTGTTTGTTTGATCGGATGGGTTCCACTGTAAGAATTTTGCAATTCGGATCGAAACATGTGCCTTCATTCCAAATCGTTGGAAGAAGTGCACGATTTAAGTGGAAGGAGACGTAAGTAGGGATATTACTAATTTGGACAGTGGACGGATGTGAAATTCGGGAGTACGACGATTATGGAGACTGTATGAAACTGGATCGACTTCGGTTTGAGCCTTGGACCCTGATCGGTATGGGTGCAAACCATGATGATCGTAACAAAACCTATGAATTATAGATTCTGGACGCTTGAAAGGACATAGCATGTCAGCTTTCCAGTCATTATGAGTGGTAACCGGAGGTTATTTTAGTAGCAAGCTAGAAATTTCAGTTATGCTTCATTTCCGGTGGTACTCTTCTTCTTATCGACGAATCTCCGGTCTTCAAATGGACATTGACATTGACAACCTCAAAGTACTTTATCGATGCGTTCGATTCACTTTCACTGATTACTTGTATGAATTAGCACTGGGAGTAAATTAGAACGTGGAATTGCACGTGGATCTAATCCCAGTTCAGTGATGTACCATATGACGGCAGCTTAGATATGCTAGGATGCAACTTAGTAGGGAAAATTTCCCATTCAGATCCAGATCCATAACCAGTGAATCATAAATCGGCCTAGGACTGACAGGGATTCGTCAATCAAATTCTAATTTTGGCCTTTGTTTGGATATACAGATGAAACCTGTTTCAGTTCTGAATGTTCCGGAAACAGAGGTCAGGTTTTCAATTCTCATACTTATCATGGCATATGCTATGGATCCTCACGATTGCAGCCCATCTTCAATCCCATAACTCCCATAACTGCCTATTATTGAGACAGTAGCTTCAGGTTGGAGACTTTGACACTCTCTGGACACTTGCATTTAGATGCTTTGGTACATATCTTGGCCCCGTGGTGTTCCTGCAGATATGGGTTCCTATATACCGAACCAACAAACCGTGCTTAAGCGTCATAGCTCCCCTCTTCGAACGAGGCCATGATACCAGGACAGGCTTGTCCTGAACTTCTTAAAGAAGTATTGGGCATGATCCTTATGCTAATACGTTCATATGAGCCTTGTGGATTTACACAACTTATAGAGAGACAGAGCTTGTGGGTCTTCGCATGTTTCAGGCCCACAAGCTTCAATCTTACCTCGTGTTCACCCTTTTGTTCATCCCCGTGTTCCGCTTGTGGGTATACTCAGCTCCGTGTTTAGGGATGCAGCATGAGAATCGACATGTCGAGAGGAATTCGTACAGTTTGTCAGGTGATTCAACGGGCTCTAATCTTTTTGTGCTTGCACGCCACGCCGCATAGGCCTTACATCCCTCCCTCGGGTCTATTCAAGCGGTGCGCAGATCTTGCTTACAACCACGTTTGTTGCCGAATTCAATCCGAAATGTGAACACATGCGAGCTTTGTCTTCGTCGCAATGCTCGGCCCTTTCCATCTCCGAAGCTCTATTTCGACTTCTGGGTACGTCCCGCCGCATAGGCCTCAGAAACATCGGAGTTATTATCTGTATCGTATCCATGTTTAGCTTGAAAACCTTAGATCCATGGACTGGAATAAAATAAACCACAATTTCACCCACATCTTGTCCATAAATCTCCGATTTGTCGATGCCGATGCGACTCCTTGCATCGGCCCGTGGGTTTCCACGATTCTTACGCTTTTCCACTCAAACACGCCTTCTTTCATGCTAAAGCTCCATCTATCTCCTTCTCTCTACTAATATAGTCGGTCCATGTAACTGGTGGTAATATCACACTGGGAGAAAGATCAGGCCCGATTCCACAAAACATGTAGGAACAAATGTGGTCTCTAAGTTTTAATCAGTATGCCGCGTGAGCGAGGCATGCGATCCTGTAAATTGTATCAATGTTTCAAACCCGAAAACATCGCCTCATGAATGAAAACTGGTTGGCAAGCTCCGGCTCGGGCCTGGCATTGAAATCAAACACATCCTACTTCGTTTCTGGCAAGTTTTGAGGCCTGTCTAGCAGACATTTGGTACGTCTCGCCGCACTCAATTTGGCTCTTTCAGCTTCTTCATCCTTGATAAAATATTACAACCCTTGCCTCTTGAATGTACTACGTTACGAATGAAAACCGTTTCTCAAAATCTTTGTTCAAGAGGCACACCATCTATTCATCAAAAGTGTGTGCAGTCAAATGCATTATCGTTGTAAGTCCACAGCCTGTACACTCTAGTATATCCGACACGAAGATGACAGCTCTTCTCTGTAGGGTCTTTCTTGTGTTACAATCTCCCTGAATTAAATCGAAAGCGGTACACATTGCCATGCTTTTGATAGACCATGCAAGATGGTGGTACACGCGGTTATGCCTCAAAGTTGAAATTCTGGAGGTACTAAAGTGAAATCTGAAAAGCAGAAAGGTGCACTGATATTGACGTATTTCATGGCTGCCTAGTAACGTATCTTCCCCAATTCGTTTGATGTTTTCTATTTCCAGTAATTAGGTGAGCCTTCGGACGGTTGGAAATTCTCAATTTTGGAATTATGCAATTCATAAATGTTGAGAAGAAGTCATTCCCCAAAGGTTCCTGTTTAACGCACATGTTAGAGTATGACACAACATTTTTTCATGTTTACGTCTAATAGATGAAGGCTCAGATTCGCTGTCTGTCTGACAGTTTCCCCACAAACTCTGTCAGGCAGTCGCGGGCCATGTCGGACAGTATTTGTATATCGTGGTGTCGACACAAGTGTTTTCTGGTGTCAGTCAGGCAGTCCCCTTGCCTTTAATTCGAAAAGCAATTCGGGAGAAAGTATTATCCTTCGGGGTGTGATCTCTCGGTGAGATGGTGGAACTTTTGATCGTATAAATTGGACTTTTCCTTCTGCGGACATTCTCAGTTTTAGATGCAAAATAGGGTGAAGTACATTCCTGCAACTTCATACAAAATCTATGCATTATTATGTTATTTGTATATATTGCTGTATTCTACGTATGGGACTGCTAGTTGGATATGTCTTTCAAGGTTACGAAGACATTATTCCTTTATAAAGCTACATTCACCTGAAAGTAAATAGTCCAATCGCTTATCTCAGTATATTAGTACATCTCATAGATCATCATTTTCCAGTTTTTTAGATTACGAATAATCATCCGAACGATGACAAGTAAAGACCACTTTCGGCCGAAGGTTGAAGAGGAGTGAAGGAACATCCAAAACGTGTTTTGTGTACTAACTTTATGACAGCAGTCATTTGAACGACAAACTTGGTACTTAGGAGATTATGCAACTGACAGCTATAAATCAGACATCTTGCAATGATATTGGATAATTCATACCGAGAAGCAATAAACTAAATATTGCATCCCAATGGTTTGCACGTGGAGTTAGACAAGGACAGGACTGCGAGGAAGGATCCAGGAAGATTGAATCTTAACAAGTAATGAGATTGATTGAACTTTAGCCAGCGGTATGTTGAGTCGGGAGGACTGCACAGAGCCAGAATGCAACCTACCTTCCAACGCTTGTTGGAATGGAAATCTTCTCCACTTTGAGATGAGAAGATCTTACCTGCAATAGGGGGTTTCTTAACAAGAGGAACCCACCACCATGCTCAGGCGATTAGTGACGATGACAGATAAGACAGACCGGTGACAGACCCGGACAGAAATCTAGAGAGAAATTGGCAGACGGCGTGCGTCCCTCTGGCAGCCACTGGACTCGAATGAGCTGCTGGACCCTGATACATTGATCCTGCATCCCACCTCATATGTATGCGTCGCCTGTGCTACGTGTTCCGAGCGAGGGAGCTTATCCCTGCCCCTGGGTCTGGACGAGCGAGGGCTTGCACGCCTGGGTCAAGTCCTCCCTCCCTGCCTCCCGTCCCCGCTACTAAACTTGAAGCATGAGGTGTTTCATCTCGTGTGCCATGTCTATGCCCATACACATGGCACACGGACCTAAACGTTCTTAAACCTAAACCCTAAACTTTAACACCCTAAACATTCTTAAATTTTAGAAAGTTGGATTA